ACCCTGGACAGGTCGCAAGTCCATCACAGGGCCTAATCTATACTTTGACTTTTAATACTTAACTACAACAAATATCACATACTTTAAGACTTTTACTCAAGTAATATTCCTAAAGGAGACTTTAACTTTTACCAAAGTCAATTTTTTTAGTAAGATACTTGTACTTTTACTCAAGTATACCACACAGTTTCTTGCCCTCTGTCCCATTTCTCCACACAGAATTGGGGTAAAGGGCCTTTGTTTACTGTAAAACACATGTTGAGCACCTTTAAATCCACACTGAGGACATTAGAGATCCTTGTATTGTGAATGTTTTTAATAGTGATTGTTTGTGTTGTAATTGTGTAACTCTGTGTAAATGTACATTTTTTGCTGCCAGGACTCCCTTGAAAAAGAGGTTTTTAATCTCAGTTGGACTTTCCTGGAAATAAATGAATAAATAAGATAATAATATATAACCAAATAATGATGTAAATGTGTGTGACATTTGCTCGGGTGATAAACGGCTCTGATGTGAACTTTTCATCAACAGCCTGTTTGTTTCTCTTCTTGTCTCTGACGATGATGACGCAACTGCAACTTCTGAAATGAGCAGCTTTCACTTCAGCCAACTCGTCGCCATTTTATTAAGAGAGCCGCTCGCCTCCTCCTGCTCCTCCTCCTCCTGCTCCTCCTCGTGAACTGCAGAGACCCCGAGCTGTGTGTTCGTCGTTTCATCTCCTCCTCTGGCCACATGAAAATGGCCACGCAGTTACATTCCCGCACAACCCGACCTGCCCCGCCCACTCCCGTCTCTTCTGTCAGCCTGCTGCGCGCGCACACAGCGGGGTGTGTGGATCGATTCGAATATCGATATTATCATAGCTCAAATCGATACATGAGTTTGTTTTTCTCAGCACTCTGGTCCTGAATGAAAGGAAACTAAAGTTTTGTTATTTTGTTTCTGAATAAGAACCAAGAAAATTAAAAGTTTAAATCATTTATTTGTGCTGATTATTATTATTTGCAGAGATTTTCAGACGGCAGTTTGTGTGTGAATCTGTATTTGAAGCACTGCTGGTTTTTAGGTTTTAATCTATTTCTAGAAGGCACTTTCCCTACTTTTAATTAGGATTTAACTCATTTATAGCTAGCATTTAGCTATCTTTAATTTTGTTTTGCTTTTTATGTACATTTTGGTTCTGTGCACTTTTAATGTGGAATTTTTTGTCTTGTCAGTTAGCATTTAGCCTCTTTTTAGCTATTTTATTCCTAAAAGCTAATATTTAGCTCCTTTTAGCTACAATTTTAAAAATTTAAGCTAATACTTTGCTCATTTTAGCTGACATTTTACACCTTTAACCAAATATTTTGCTCATTTTAGCTGACATTTTACACTTTTAAGCAAATATTTTGCATTTTTTTAGCTGGCATTTTACACTTTTAAGCTGATATTTTGCTCATTTTATCTGACATTTTACACTTTTAAGGTAATATTTTGCTTATTTTAACTGAAATTTTACACCTTTAAGCTAAATTTTTGCTTATTTTAGCTGACATTTTACACTTTTAAGCTAATATTTTTCACATTATAACTGAAAATTTACACCTTTAAGCTAATATTTTGCTCATTTTAGCTGAAAATTTGCACCTTTAAGCTAATATTTTGCTTATTTTAGCTGACATTTTACACCTTTCAGCTAATATTTTGCTTATTTTAGCTGACATTTTACACCTTTAAGTTAAAATTTTGCTCATTTTAGCTGACAATTTACACCTTTAAGCTAATATTTTTCTCATTTTAACTGAAAATTTACACCTTTAAGCTAATATTTTGCTCATTTTAGCTGATATTTTACACCCTTGAATTAACATTTTGCTCATTTTAGCTGACATTTTACACTTTTAAGGTAATATTTTGCTTATTTTAACTGACATTTTACACATTTAAGCTAAATTTTTTTGCTTATTTTAGCTGGCATTTTACACCTTTAAGTTAAAATTTTGCTCATTTTAGCTGACATTTTACACCTTTCAGCTAATATTTTTCTCATTTTAACTGAAAATTTACACCTTTAAGCTAATATTTTGCTTATTTTAGCTGACATTTTACAACTTTCAGCTAATATTTTGCTTATTTTAGCTGACATTTTACACCTATAAGCTAATATTTTGCTCATTTTAGCTGACATTTTACACATTTAAATTGATATTTTGCTTATTTTAGCTGACATTTTACACCTTAAATCTAATATTTTGCTCATTTCAGCTGACATTTTACATATTTAAGCTAATATTTTGCTCATTTTAGCTGACATTTTACACATTTAAGTTAATATTTTGCTTATTTTAGCTGACATTTTACACCTTTAAGCTAATATTTTGTTCATTTTATCTGACATTTTACACAATTCAGCTAATATTTTGCTTATTTTAACTGAAAATTTACACCTTTAAGCTAATATTTTGCTCATTTTAGCTGACATTTTACACATTTCAGTTAATATTTTGCTCATTTTAGCTGACATTTTACACATTTAAGTTAATATTTTGCTTATTTTAGCTGACATTTTACACCTATAAGCTAATATTTTGCTCATTTTAGCTGACATTTTACACATTTAAGTTGATATTTTGCTTATTTTAGCTGACATTTTACACCTATAAGCTAATATTTTGCTCATTTTAGCAGACATTTTACACATTTAAGTTAATATTTTGCTTATTTTAGCTGACATTTTACACCTTTAAGCTAATATTTTTGCTCATTTCAGCTGACATTTTACACATTTAAGCTAATATTTTGCTCATTTCAGCTGACATTTTACACATTTAAGCTAATATTTTGCTCATTTCAGCTGACATTTTACACATTTAAGCTAATATTTTGCTCATTTTAGCTGACATTTTACACCTTTAAGCTAATATTTTGCTCATTTTAGCTGACATTTTACACCTTTAAGCTAATGTTTTGCTCATTTTAGTTGACATTTTACACATTTAAGTTAATATTTTGCTTATTTTAGCTGACATTTTACACATTTAAGCTAATATTTTGCTCATTTTAGTTGACATTTTACACTTCCAGCCTCACTGGGGACAAAAAGCGCTCGCTGTAAAGCAGGAGGAAAGGAGAGCAGAAAAAGTTCAAAACTTATTTCTAGCAGCAGAACAGGTTGAAAGGTGGCTGTTTAATGTTATTTACTGTTTTTGAAAAAACATCCTACAGGCTCTGACATGTTAGATAAATTTGAAAATCAGGTTTTGAAAAAAAATCCAAAAGACTTGAAAAAATCTGTGAGATTGCTCTGTACGTCTGTATACCTGCAAAATGACGTAAAATCCTTGTAACTTACAATCTGTACAAGTTGACATCTATGTTGTTATTTATTTGTAAATCTAAGTTTACCATAGTACCTTACACTGTCAAACTTGTTTTTAGGGGTTCAAATTGGGGTGGGTGGGACATAGTTTGGGCGGGGGGCACTTCAACTCGCCTAGGGCACCAAAAAGGCTGGAGCCAGCCCTGGGGCTTGTTCAAATGTAATTCAGTTTTCAACATTTTGTAACACATTTCAGCTTCATTCACTCTCAGTATTTTTCTAGTCATTTGCCTCAAAGTTTACTAAAAAGTCCTTTCAAATATCAAGTAAAGTTCCATCAGAAAGCAACAATCAGTAATTTAATACTCATGAAAATATTTTCACATGATGAAACATGACGCGCTTCTCTCCTCACAAAAATACGCCTCTAAAAAAAGTTCAAAGTATCGGATCGGATCGATACCGGAACACGGCTCCTGTGCTTCCCAGGCGTCGGATCGATACCAGATTTTGCGGTATCGCACACCTCTTTTCGTACGAGAGAACTGGCGGGAGCGGTGCAACTTTCCCCGAGCGAAGTGGGCTGAAACCGAAGCTCCAGTGAGCGCGTGCAGCCAGCAGCCCGCCACCTAGCTGCGGACACGACTCTGAGAAAACACCCGCGTCAACGTGTTGTTGCTCAGCGGAGCTCGCGCTCTCCTGCTCTCGCTCCGCGCGCTTATGGGAATAAAAACTCGCCTTTTTTTTCTGGGGGTGTTTTAACCTCCTCCGGCCTTTAGTTATGTAACCAAAAGCAACATTTGAATGCGCCAACAGGACCGCCGCTGGTGAAGGCAGAGAGGAGAGAGGAGCAGGAGCAGGAGCACCTCCAGCACCTCCTCCATGCTTTAAAAACGCAGTTGGCTCTCCGGGACGCGCTCCCTCTCGGGGTAAGTGGCCTGCGTAGCTTTATTACAGATTGTCATGGCAGTCTGTGTTAATAATGTGTGTGTGTGTGTGTGTGTGTGGGGGGGGGGGGGTCTGTCATGATGACCGAGCTGAAAGCGCGCGCCAGTTTTTACGCAGACGTTTATTTGTTCATCCGTTTTTCTTTTTTTTTATCATCTCTCTTTTGCGCTAATTTTATCCCCCTTGTTGCTGAGCGCAGTCACTGATCTCCCTGCGTGGCGATATTTCTTATTGCGATGTTGCTGACACCAGCAGGGGGACTGGCAGGCAGAGGACAGAGGAGGAGGAGGAGGTGCAGGAGGAGGTGGGGCATGGGGGGAGTGAGCCACAACATCACCAGCGGGCAGGTTCAGATATGATGAAGCCTCTCACCTCCATGTTTCAGTCTGCAGCTGTTACAGGATGCTTATAGGAGTGACGACAACAACAACACGTGTGTGTGTGTGTGTGTGTGTGTGTGTGTGTGTGTGTGTGTGTGTGTGTGTGTGTGTG